TGCATGGTCCCAGGGTACCACCGTGACCTCGGCCCCACGCTGGCACAAGCATCGGATCTGATTATACTTTAGGCCACAATCCAAAGCAAGAATGCGCGGGGTGCCCCCTGCATTGTATACCTGTGGAGCCTGTGAAAGAAAGGGCAATGGGTGGCAGCTGTGATCAGTGAGTATTTATAGGCACACACCTCCCCCCTAACGTGGAGGCCTCTTCTGATTCTGCCTCAATGCTCTCCATGGTTCCGGACAGACTGTAATTACTGTGCGACAGCTTACAACACTCTCCCACTCACCCACTGTACCTTAATGGAGACCTCCGGCACCAGAGGGCGGGCATTGGGGTCCAAGAATGGCAGGGCTGAAGGATCTGTCCCATCCTGGACCAGCTTTCCCAGCAGAGACCCTTGTTCTCGCAACTTCTTAGTCAGCTCCCGAGTGTCCACTCCTGTCAAAGTAGCCCACTCTGAGAGATCCCACTCCCCCCACTCAGCCATGCGTGGGGTTAAGACTGCCCAGAGAACTTCCATTCCACAGCCGCGTCACACACAGCTGGTCTATGGGCATCAAAACCCTAAGCCACCCTGGCGGAAGCTCACTACCATGCAGGATTCTTGCCGTGAACCTCACATCTGAATTGTACCATGAATCCAGATCTGTTTGTTTACAGAAAATAATATCAAGATTTATCTGTGTATAGAAAAAGAACATGCTAAGTGATTCAACAGGAATGTAATCAACAAAACGCAGATTGGGATACTCCAAAGAAAAATGACCTGCTTCAGCCGAAACCAGTTTGGCTCAATGGATAGAGCATTGGCCTGAGGAATGAAGGGTCCCGGTTTGATTCCGATCATGGGCATGTACATTGGTTGCGGGCACATCCCCAGTAGGGGGTGTGCAAGAGGCAGCTGATTGATGATTCTCTCTCATCGATATTTCTAACTCTCTATCCCTCTTTCTTCCTCTCTGTAAAAAAAATAAAATAAAATATATTTTTTTAAAAAGAAAAAGAAAAATGATCTGTTTCTGTCAATAGGTTACAAGGTCCATAGATTAAAAAGATAATCAAATGCAATGTACCAATCTTGTTTAGATTCAGATTCAAAGAAACAAGCTGTGAAAATACACTTAGGTAAGTGGGAAAACTTAAAACCTTGACTGGATATTTGGTATTAAGGAATTACTGTTACTTTTTAAAATGTATGACATTAAGGAATTACTGTTTCTTTTTAAAATGTACAACGTTATTATGGTCATGTTTTAAAAGGATTCCTTTTTCAGAGATACTTAAATATATATGGATAAACGATACAATGTCTTGAGATAAGCTTCAAAAACCCTGGGGTGAGTTGTGGCCATGCTCCTGTCAGGGACCCCTTTCCTACAGGGCTCCCTGTGGATTTTGGTAGCTATTTGTAGCCAGAACTTGGTACTGCTCTGCCATCTCCTGTTCCGTTTCATGAACCTGCCTCTCCTTGGAGTAGTTAGTCCCTTCACTGAACTTTTCAGTGAGGCTTTTGAGATGCATGTGCTTCCTGTCCCAAGTATGACCTGACTTATTTGTATGGAGACCCTAACAAAACTCTCAAGTTAAACCAAAAAATAAAAATAAAAAAATCCGGGGGTACCCAGCTGGCTTGCCTCAGTGATTGAACCAGGAGGCCACAGTTTGATTCCTGGTCAGGGCATATGCCCGGGTTGCATGGCTGCATCCCCACTGGGGAGTGTGCAAGAGGCAGCATACCAATAATTCTCTCTCCTCATTGAGGTTTCTATCTCTCCCTCTCCTTTCCTCTCTGAAATCAATAAACATATATTAAATAATAACAATATGCAATGGCATATGTACAAAGATAATAATTTAATAAAAAAATTTAAAAAATAATAACAATCCGGGGTTATAGTAATGGTGATGAAATAAGTTTAGCCCTGAGTTGGTGGGGGTTAATTATATGCTCTTCTTTCCTTTTTATACGTTTGAAATTTTCCATGTGAGCAAGAGCTCAGTTCCTTGCTCCAGACCCTAACCTACATGGAAATCAGATTCTATCACAACCTTGAACTCAAGTCCCAATAGTGCACAGAGATCTTCTCTTGATTCTTCCCATCGAGGCACCAGTCCTCTGCCCAACCTCACGTGTGCTTGCACCATACCTTGCAGGCCAGGTATGCCATGCTGCTGCAGCCACTCATGAAGGGTGCGGATGGAACTCCAGTGGCTAGGGGTGGGGCAGCACTCTCCCACCACCAGTCCTGCCACGTGGATCCCCGAGGATTCAAACCACTGTTGATGGAAGGAAGAGATCATGAGAGCCCAGGGCCTTATACCCTGCTATGCTGTCTTTTCCCATGGTATGGCATGAACCCTGGCTTCAGCCACACTGAATGACCTCTCATTCCCTCATGCGTTTGCCCTTCACCAGCAGTGCTATTCCCTACAAGGGCCCAGGGTGCCTGATTAATCATTGAAAATGAGCCCTAGCTAGTTTGGCTCAGTGGATAGAGGGTCGGCCTGCAACTGAAGGGTCCCGGGTCCGATTTCAATCAAGAGCACATGCCTGTGTTGTGGGCTTGATCCCCAATAGGGGGCGTGCAGGAGGCAGCCAATCAATGATTCTCTCTCATCACTGATGTTTCTCTCTTCCCCGCCCCCTTCCTCTCTGAAATCAATAAAAATACATTTTTTAATTGAAAATGACATTCTCCTTCCTTTTCCTTTACCCAAAATTGAGATCATAAATCCCCTTTTCTGTGAAGCCACCCTAGTCATCCACTGCAGCTTGTACCTCCTCCTTAGAGCTCACCTAAGTTCGCTTCTTTTCCATTGATCTTTTTACATAAAACTTCAATTTTGCAGGTTTATAAAATCAATTCTATCAGTGTGGGTTCACAGTTGACAAAGCTGGGTGATTGACATGTTAACCAAGATACTACATTATAAAACTAGAATGCAGTATATTCATAGGTTTGTGATGAGACATGGTCCTTAGGAGGAATAATATGTCCCTTATCTAGAGTTCCCTCTTTCAAGTGGAGGGCAATTAAGAACTAAGGCTCAGTAAGCCTGGAATCAGGACAAAACAAGTTTGTGTCTTTTTCACAGAACTGTGAACTCAAGAGCAAGGTGACTGATACATGATAGTAGCCAATCAGCATTTCCTGAGGGCTGGGGGAGGAGCAGTGAGCATGGTCCCTGTGGTCACAATGTTAATTTGTTACTCAAGGAGCAAGAAAATTAACAAGGTAACATGTAAATAAGCAAGATGATTATAGATTGTGATAAAAAATAGCGTACCTTACTAAAGATAAAGGCTCGGGGAATTTACCTAGGCAAGATTATACCCTCCTCCTTCACAGGGGATTATATACATAAACAGATAACAGAAATCTGTTATCTAATAGATAAGCATTCAATAACTAGAGAAACAGGTCATTTATGTGGGAGGGAGTTGAATATTCAAATTACATCTGCTTAGTGGGAAATTTAAGGAAAGATGAAAAGGGATTTGAAGGACAGTCTGGCAGAACCCTCAGCTCCAGGAAGTTCAGTCTGCACACGGATATGTGTGTTTACAACCCATGTGACAGAAAAGCATCCGTGGCGATCTGGTGGCTCTGGGAGGCCTTACCCTGTTTCTGTCAGGGCCTCAGTTTTGCAGGTTTATAAAATCAATTCATCAGTGTGTTTACGGCTGACAAAACTGGAGATTGACATGTTCATGAAGATACTGCGTTACAGGCAAGAATGCAGTGAATTCGTAGGTTTGTGATGAGACGTGGTCCTTTGGAGGAATAACATGTCCCTTACCTAGAGTTCCCTCTCCCGAGTGGAAGGCAAATGAAGAACTAAGGCTCAGAAAACCTGGAATCAAGACAAAACAAGTTCGAGAAATGCTGCACCTAGGCATTGGGTGTGGCTACCTTGCTGAGCCCGAACTCATCCGTTTCGTCTGGGGGGATGCCGTAGTTGCCGATCAGAGGATAGGTCAGCACCAAGATCTGTGCTTTGTAGGATGGGTCTGTGAGGGCTTCAGGGTAGCCGACCATGCCGGTTTGAAACACTGCAAGAAAGAGGCAGGGCTGGGGCTCAGAAGAGCCCCCTTGGGAACGCTGCCCCACTCCACGAGAATGCCCTGGAGTGGAGGCTGCCTTGACCATGGGATGAACGGGGCTGGGGGGAGGAGGGGACTTGGGCGCCGAAAGGAGGGTGGGGGGGGGGTGTGGGCGGGAAAATGGCGGGGTCTGGCTGGGGCAGCCTGGGCAGGGAAGGGCCGCAGAGAGTAGGACGAGAGCGACAACCGGACCGGGCTTGCTTACCCACTTCTCCGGCAGTCGACACAGCGGCCCCAAAGGGCTGGCCCCGCAGGACCAACCCATCCTCCAACACCAGGGTCGCCATGGGAACGGAGCTCCGCGCCGTGGGCATTCAGAGCTGGACGCACCGCAAGTTTCCGCCAATGCTGGGACCACGTGAGGGCCGGGAGCCCAGAGGTACACGTGGCTCGCGGCGCGCCCGGCTGGGTGGTGCGCGGCCGCCGGCAGAAGCCCCGGGAGTGCCGGGAGCCGACTGCGGCGGCGCGAGCAGCGGGCGGCGTGAGGGGCGGGGCCGGCACGTAAGGGGCGGGGCCTGGGCGGCGGCGAGGTCGGAGGCATCAGGTCTCCCTAGCACAAAGCCTGGAGAAACGTGCGAAAGAAAACCCACTTCCACCCCAACCAAGAAACACACAAAGCCGGGGTACCTTCCTCTAAAAAATAAATAAATAAATAAATAAAAATTAAAAAAGTAAAAGTTTATTATCGTTAACAGTACAAATGGGAACTGGGACTAGTCCACGCCTCGATTGGAGTGTGACACTCCAGCATTGCAATGTTCCATCTTCCTTCCAACCGTGGCCTTCTCCTTGAGGAGGCTCCTCGGACCAGCCTGCCCAGGAAGAAAGTCTCCCCAGCTGGGCTAAGATAGTGGGATGATCTTTAGGTCAGTAGGAGATCTAGGTAGTTCATGAAGCCTTGGCTTTTCGGCGTTGGGTTCCCCAAAGAAGGATGGAGATGAGTAATGTGGTGGATCCCAAAATCCCAAAGAACGTAAGCAGCGAGAACGAGCCCTGTGAATAAAAGATTTTAAAAAACACACACCTCATACACCTCATATTGTATTACTCCAAGGGCTTCATCCTAACACCCAGTTTTTCCCTAACATACCCCCTCATCCAGGGATAATTCTTTCAGAGTTTCTAGGTGATTTGCATCAACTCCTGGTCTATGGCTCTTCTTTCTGAGAGGTGTTTGCTCTATGCATTTCTCTTATCCCTAATTAGAATAATTAATTCCTCACCTGGCGCATACACTTGTAGCCATGGAAGCCATCAGCACAAACACATTGCAAAAGACCTGGACCATCAGGCACACAAGATCCATTCTCAGGACATATTTCTAGGAGTCAGAGAGAAACAGAGAATATCATAGGATCTCATTTTATTTCTCAAATATCTACTTCAATTTAAATTTAATTATTTCCATGTCAAAGGAGAAGAAAGATTATAGATAATCAGAACATAATAATATAAATTTATTTTATTTTATTTTATTTTTTGGATTTTTTAAAAATATATTTTATTGATTTTGTACAGAGAGGAAGGGAGAGAGATAGAGAGTTAGAAACATCGATGAGAGAGTCATCGATCAGCTGCCTCTTGCACACCCCCTACTGGGGATGTGCCCGCAACCAAGGTACATGCCCTTGACCGGAATCGAACCTGGGACCCTTCAGTCCCCAAGCCGATGCTCTATCCATTGAGCCAAACCGGTCTCGGCATAAATATATTTTAAGATCCTTTCTTTCCAAGGGATTATGGCCTCAGAAGCCTGAACAAGAAGGCACGTAAACAATTCTCCTATCTTTCTGATCTAAGAGGGAGAATCCAAAGGAGGAAAGGCAGGTCCCCAAAAGGGTGGAAATGAGACAGCATACCTGTGTCCCCAGTGCTATTGCAAAGGTTCCTTTGTCCTTCACAGGTTTGGTTGTTTGGGTAAAATGTGACAGTGTTCCAGGCGTTAATACCTCCAGGACAGTTGACATCGGGTGGTAGTATCCTGAACACAATGCAAGCAGTCTTAATATGCAACCCAAGTTATTGAGCTCACAGCACTGCCCCTCTTTGATTCCCTCCCCACAACCCCATACCTTACTCACAGAGTCTGGAGCTGGGTAAAGCCGTGGAAGATGTTGGCCAAGTCATCCTTGAGGGGGTTTGCGTGCAGGTCTCTGAAAGGCACACACTGTTAGCGCTGTGCTTTAGAAAAACACTCTATTAACACATCTTCCTGGGCTGGTACTCCAGTTCTCATTCTGAGCTGTCCAAGTTTAGGTATCAGTATTCAAACATTTTTTGAGGAGTACATACTCAAAAACTTTCCCATCAACCCTTTGTCATAGTCACTTTTTGATAAGGAAGATAACGAACCACTTACATGATGACGGCAGTATGTGCTTGAGGAAAGTTTGGACCAAAGTCCTTCAGAGAACAGTTCTGGAGATCCAGCCTGAGGAAATAAGATAATCAGTGTAACTACGTGTCTCTCTGTGTCCATTAGAGGCCAATGCATCCCTCTTTCTGCTAAGTATTAGTTGAACACAGATGTGTTCAGGGCTACCAAGTAGGTGCTGTAGTAGGTATTTTAAAGCTGCATTGTCCAATCTAGTCACCACTAACTAGCTACAAATAAATTCAGTCCCTCATTTGCACTAGCCAAATTTCAGTGTTCAGTTAAGCATTAACATGTAGGTAACAGCTACCATATTGAATGGTATAGATATGGAATATTTCCATCATGGCAGAAAATTCTTTGTATCTATGCATATATTGGAAGAAATTTGTTTCTTGTCTAGATTAGTGAATCTCATATTATGATATGACCTCAGATCACAAAGGACTTTCAAATGGAAAAAAAATTCAAATCATATAATTGAAAGTTTTTTCCAAGTGCATTTTCTACCACAGATTGGATGTAAAACACTGGATATTAAGGAGCATGTCACATTATTTTCTTCAGTATCTATTGCTATCTGTTCCTCTGGTCTACAAATATTTATGGAGCACCTACTAACTGCAGAAATTTGGAATATAAAAATAAAACCCTCAATGAGGAACCTTTGTCATAATACGAACAATAAAGATTGATTTTTTTAAAAAAAATAAAAAATAAAACCCTCAGTATCTTAGCTTTCTTTTCTTTTTTAGCTTTCAAATGGCTTACAATGTAGTAGGAGAACAAGACCAAAAATAGGATCAATATAAACATTAAAAGCCTAACATGTTAAGTGTACAACCATGGTTGGACTATTCCACCAGTCTTTATGATGTGCACTGACCATCGGGGCAGATGCTCTGACGGGTAGGTTAACTTGCTACTGGGGTTTGGCTGATCTGGACTAGGCTAGACCAGCAGGACAAGCCCTAGAGCCCTCCCCCAACAGATGGCGCACTGATGGGATCCCTCCGCCCAGGCCTGTGGGGGTCGGTGGAAACTGGTAGTCTGACATCCCCTGAGGGGTCCCAGATTGCAAGAGGGTGCAGGCCAGGCCAAGGAACCCTGAGGGACACCACTGGTGCACAAATAGTGCACCAGGCCTCTAGTATGAAATAAATCACAGGGCAGTTAATAAATAAAATTGATTAGTACAAACATTAAGGATTAGTGGGAGTAAAAAAAATACTACAGTGGTATTTAGTAGTAAGGAGAATTCACAAAAGATGCTGGAATTAAAGAATGGAGCCCAGATGGTATGGCTCAGTGGTTGAGCATGACCCCTAAAGCAGGTTACTGTTGGAATCCGATCCCCAGTAGAGGAAGGTGATAGCTGGTTCTCTCTCATTGATGTTTCTACCCCTCTCCCTAAAATAAATAAAAACATTTTTTAAAAACCCACAAAGGCAAAAATAATAATAATAATAACAATAATAATAAATAAAATAAAAACCCACAAAGGCTTGTATGTAGTTTCAACCAGGATGAACCACAAAGTTGTTTACCAAGCCAAAAATGCTATAACAGGTTTAGAAGTCTGAGAATTATGGTTGAGATGCCTCCAAAATAGGCACCAATATTTATCCCAAAAGCCAATCAGGTAAGCCTTGACGAATCTGGGTTTGGGACCCTTTTCCACTATCCGGCGAAGACTTTTCCCTCACCCCAGGATGGTGCCATTCTGATTCAGGCAGCAGCGGGCGTGCAACGTTCGCTCTGGCGTCTGCTTACAATAAAGGGCCACTTTTGACCAATCCTGCATACTCCCTGGGCACAGGATGCATATCTGTGGAAAAGAGAAAACTATTAGGACCCACAGGGGGGGGGAAAAAAAAAAAAGCCAAGAAAGAACAAACAGGAATCAAATGTTACATGCCAGTACACCTCTCCAGAATTCCTCGAACAGAGGGAAGTGTTCTACCTTCGTATCAGGTGTCACTAGACGCCTGACTTCCCAGGCGCCAAATCAGCGCACAAGAGCCTTTCAGCACCAGACCACACCCGGGGAAAGTTCTCGTTCTTGAAGATCACCATCGGGACATATTTATTATGTCCTCTCCAGTGACTTCGCAACCTGACAGCGGGGCTTGGCGGGGTGTAAAAGGACGGCAGGTCCACACTCATCAAGCATTACAGAGAGCGCAGTCCTGCCACCGCACGACACACACAGCGGCATTCGTGCGCGGAGAGCCTGCGGGACAGCCAAAGGGCTCGTCTGCAGAAAGAGCTTAAGTAATTCAAAGACCCAGGCGCGAGGAGGTCAAAGTTGAAAGGTCTTGGGATGTCGGCGGGGCTGGGAAACCTGCGCCGGGTGAGTCATCTGGAGCGGGAGCCCGCTGGGATGGGGCTGGGAAGGCCTCAAGGGCAAAACCGGAGCTGCGGGCCGGCCTGCCGGGGAGGGCTGAGGTCGGCGAGCGGGACCACACGCCGGCCCAGCGCCTCGGCTTCCGGCGGACGGACCTCGGACCCGTCGCTGTACCTCGGGTAGCGCCAGGGCCCTTCCCACGCGCAGGGCGAGGAGCAGGGTCGCGGCCCAGGGCAGCGGGATCGGAGGGCTGCCCGCAACGCGAGGGGACATTTTTCCGGCCCTCGGAGGTGTCCTTCCTCAGCTCTCGCGAGACTTGCGCTGTGGCCCCGCCCCCCGGGGGCGGAGACTAGGGGGTGCCGGCCGGTTGGCCCTGCTCGACTTAGGGGTGCTGCCGCCCGCCGAGGTCAACTCTCTCCTCCGTGCGCCCCGGCCCTCGTTAGGGGGAGCTGGCCTGCCCCCCTCCCGCTCCCCCTCCCGCCCCCGAGAGCCTCGCGCCGGGACTCCGAGGGCGCGTCCCCGCCGGGTCTCCGGGCTACACCGCCAACCCCCAGGCGACATGGCGGGGCAGGCAGGGGCGGGGCCCGGCTCACACCGGGCGCGCGTGCCGGGAGCCAGCCCCGGGCGGGCGGCCAGAGCCAGGCGTGGAGACCCGGCAGGTGGGCAGGTCCGGGGCGGCCGGAAGGCGGCGGAGCTCCGCGCAGGAGCGGGGAGGGCGGGGCCTGGAGGCGAGGGGGCGGGGTGCCCGGTGCCCAGTGCCTCGCGCCCGGCGAGGGTCCCCGGGAGATCGCAGGTGCGGGCGACGGAGCGGTCGGTGGTCCTTGCCGCCTCGCCCGCGGAGGGAAGGTGGGAAGCGGGCCATCACGAGGATCGGAGTGAGGAGCGGGGAATGGAGGGCGAAGGGCGAGCCCTGGCGGGAGGAGACGTTACGGGCACCCTGTCCCCTTCACCTCCACCCGCCCCGGGAGCACGCGGTGGCGGGAGCTCTGGCACGGAGGTGGGGGCGGGAGAGATGCTCCCCTACAGCCCCGTCTCCTCTCCTTTCCCAGGAAAGGGGAGCGATGCTGATCTCAGGTAGAACGACCGGACCCCCTAGCGCTGTCTGAGCCACGAGGTAAGGAGAGGGAGCGCGGTTCTAAGGTGCCCGGGGCTCTGGCCAAAGGTGAGGGGCGGCGCCCTAACTGGTTTGTCTCAGTGGATAGAGTGTCAGCCTGCGGACTGAAAGGTCCCAGGTTGATTCCGGTCAAGGGCATGTACCTTGGTTGCGGGCACATCCCCAGTAGGAGGTATGCAAGGGGCAGCTGATGGATGTTTCTAGTTCTCTATCCTCCCTTCCTCTGTGTAAAAAATAAAATTAAAATAAATCAATAAAATATTTTCTTTTTAAAAAGGTGCGGGGTGGCAATGTTGAGGCCGAGAATTAAGGCCTTCGAAAATAAAATTAGCATTAAATTGTAAATTAAAAATTAACGTAAAGCCTTTCAGACCTTGAGGAATTGTAGGCACAGGATTTTGAAGGAATCTTTTCAGGACCCTTGGACCCGTGGTGGGCCCATCTCCTTTGCAGGAGTCCAAGCAATCCAATGTAGTTTGTGACGGAAGTGAGGGTAGGGTGATGGGAAAGATTATCTTCCTCGTCTTAGGCATTTTTGAAAGGGGCCCACAGCCAGCTATCTGTGCCCTTCGTATTACAATTTCAGCGAAACAGCTCAGTTCTTACTTTTGCCTCACAGTCCGAGGCCATCGGGTTTGAATCAGTGTAGAATTGTTAGCCACTGCCCTGTTCTTAGAATCACATCTCACGAAGACTTTTTTCCTGGGTTGAGTTTTTTTCTGTCTTGTCTAGATGGCCATCTAGGAGGTTCCCCACCCTCCAGTCAGTTTACTCCAGCTGTATGCCTGTGTTCTAGTTTATACTAGAATCTTCCTTTCTCTAACTACCTGCCTCTCCATGTCACGGACCCTTTACCATTACACCCTCTGCACGCACACAGCACCATCTCTTACTGTCTAGTAGTTGCCGTCACCTCTCTCTCAGCAGTAAAAGATTTCTGGAGGAGTGAGAAAACTCTGTGATGTTGCAATCTACAACATCTTCAGGTTAAACTACAGTGGCCTACTGGGAACATTGTTCCGACTACTGACATTTGTAACATGTGATCCAAGAGTTGCTAGCTCTGATTTCCTCTCTCATTGGCCCCAGGGGTTTCAGAGTTCAGGTTTCATTGGTGAGAGGCCATCTCTATCAGTCCAGCAGGCAACATCTGCCCGAGAGCACAGTGTGGGAGAGCCAGGAGACAGCCAGGCTCTCTCCTGCTGGGCAAGAACAGAAGACCTCTCATATAATGATCTGTGTCTATTTTTTAAAAATATATTTTTTTATTGGTTTCAGAGAGGAAAAGAGAGAGAGAAACATCAATGATGAGAGAGAATCACTGACTGGCTGCCTCCTGCATGGGCCCCACTGGGGATGGAGCCTGCAGCCTGGGCGTGTGCACTGACCGGGAATTGAACTGTGACTTCGAGGTTCATAAGTCGGTGCTCAACCACTAAGCCATGCCCATCAGGCATGATATGTGTCTAGACTAGTTGAAATCTAAACTTTGTTCCATAAATGATTGACTACAATGAACATTCTCTTTCTGTCCTAGATAGTAAGGATTGGGCCACTGGTGAAATTTTAGTAATTAGGTTTTGTGTGCCATGAGATGGAAAAGGTAGAAAAGTCTCTAAAAACCATGTGGTATAAATGGAGAGTGGATGGGTGGGGCAGTCACTAGACCTGGGTTCTAATCTAGCCTCTTGCGACAATCGTAGTTTGAAAAGATCAAAGTTATCTCAGCCTGGTGTAAATGAGGGTGTTACTTAGTGATCTCTTTAAGTTTTTAAATACTATGATCCTGTCTTTGTTCTAAGCACAAAGGCATATTCTTTGAGGATTGGTATCTCTTGTTCAGGAGTCAGAAAGGTAATTTCTCCTCTTTCAGCCCCTCCTTTCCATTCCCTCTGGGACTGGGTGCCAAGTGTGACTTAGAGCAAAAGCCTAATCCATCTAGGAATGTTGTTGCCTGTGAGCTCCCTGCTTCCCGCTCTCGAGCTAGGGTTTGGGGGTTGTGGGGAAAAAGGGCTGTTTGGATCACAGTGATTGGTTCCCTGAAGGGGCCAGAACAAACAGCTGCTGAGTTTCCCTTTGCCTTCCAATTCCTGATCTCAGCAATAGCTGCTAATATAGAGCCAGATCTTCAGTGCCTAGCTTCAAACACAGCTTCTCCAGGCAGCTCTGCCTCAGACCGGGCTTGCTTCTCTGGGTAAGTTGTCTGCCCCAGCAGGGTAAGACCACTCTCCCTGGCTGTTCCCCCGGCCCCAGCTCCTCGGCTGGTTTGCTTTTCCCCAAAGAGTTCTATGATCCTAATTCAGAACTGCTGGACCCAGCACATTGTCCTCTCACTGTTTTTTCAAGAAGCCATAATCTGCCGAAACTGGTTTGGCTCAGTGGATAGAGCGTCAGCCTGCGGACTGAAGGGTCCCAGGTTCAATTCCGATCAAGAGCATGTACCTTGGTTTCGGGCACATTCCCGGTGGGGGTGTGCAGGAGGTAGCTGATCGATGTTTCTCTCTCATCAAAGTTTCTAACTCTCTCTCCTCTTTCTCTCTGTAAAAAAAAATCAATAAAATATATATTTTTAAAAATAATGTCCCAGGATTATGATCAACAAATACATATATATCAACAAGTGAATCTAAAAATCAAGTGAATTAAAAATCTGAGGAACAGATTAAACTGGTGAATATAATAGAATCAGGGGCAAAGAAAGGGAGTGAATTGATAATTATCAGGGAGAAAGGGGTGTGGGGGTGCAGGAAGAGACTGGATTAAAATCGTACACCTATGGATGAGGACAATGGCGGGGGAGGTAAGGACAGAGGGTGGGGCGGGAACCAGGTGGTAGGGAGCTATGGGGGGGTGGGGGGAAGGAGAAACAATTGTAATAATCTGAGCAATAAAGATTTATTAAAAAATAATAATACCCTAAGATTTCATAATAGCAGCTCTAAAAAAAAAAAAGCCATAACTTTATTAATGATAGAAACAGGATAAATTTTGAACCAAGCTGCAATTGTTACTCTTTTGAAACAAAAAGTCCTCATTTTTATTTTATAAAGAGTGTTTATTTTTTATGTATTTTTACCAGAGGCCTAAAGCCCGAAATTCATGCAAGAGTAGGCTTTCCTTCTCCCAGCTGTAGGCACCTTGGCTTTGCTCAGGCCACCAGCAGACACATAGGACCTGGCTTCCCTCTGACCCCGGCTTCATCCGGAATGATGCCCGGTCTAATTAGCATATTACATTTTTATTATTATAGATTGATTTCAGAGAGGAAGGGAGAAGAAGAAAGAGCGAGAAACATCCACGATGAGAGAGAGAATCATTGATTGGCTGCCTCCTGCATGCCCCACACTGGGGATGGAGCCTGCAACCCAGCCATGTGCCTTGACCAAGAATCAAATCATGACCTCCTGATTCATAGGTCAACTCTCACAGGTCGGGCAGTCTTGTTTTAATTTTATGTCTGTAACTGCCACACCTGTTTCACCTACCTCTTCCTCTTCACTTTTGTACAGTTGGAATCTGTGTTTTATTTAATGTTTAAAGCAGCTTCATCTTAAACTTGAATTTCTCAGCAGCTGCCAGCGGTGCTTGTTGAGATAAATCTTGATCTTGGCTTCCCCAGAAACTACGTAGATATCTGAAGCTGAGCTCTTGTAGACGTCTGTTTGTTTTTTTGTTTGTTTTGTTTTGTTTTAAATATATTTTATTGATTTTTCTTACCGACAGGAAGGGAGAGGGATAGAGAGAGAGAGCTAGAAACATCGATGATAGAGAAACACCGATCAGCTGCCTCCTGCACACCCCCTACAGTGGATATGCCCAAAACCAAGATACATGCCCTTGACCGGAATCGAACCTGGGACCTTTCAGTCCGCAGGCCGACGCTCTATCCACTGAGCCAACCGGTTTCGGCTAGACATTTGGTTTTATGATGACAAAGAGGATATTCTTAGATTTCCAGATAGTGACCCCAGAAACCCCCATAACCTGTTGAAGACCCAGTTTGGACATAGCCTCCGAGCCTTTTCATTGACTTCAGCTGCTGCTGCCAGCTGGGCTAGGGTGGCCTGTATGGAATCTGTTCCTCGGGCTCTGCCACGGATTCATCACCGTCAGATTCTGTTCTAGAGCCGGGCTCATCCGGGGCTGTGGCCACTCCTGCTGTATAATAGGGATGCTTTCTGTGGCTTCACCCCACGTTTTGTGCAGGGCACCCCTCTCACTTTTGAATCCCACTTCTCTTCCATGATCTGCTGTTGATTGTGGTGTTACAGGTAGAGAAGTTGAGAGATAAGTGGCACGGCTAGTAGTGTTGGAGAGAATGGAGTGGTTGACCTGGCGATGCCTGGAATAGAGTTTGGGGCTGCCATGGAGATGATCTCATTGGGATGGGAATCAGTGCTGAGAAGGGGTGCTGTCAGCCTGATGAAACTGGGAATCGTGGGAAGAGGGAGTTGAGGTCAGGGGGAATGGAGGAAACCATGCTGTTATTGGTCTCCATTTCTTCTTCCCCACTGGGCGGTGGCGCCAGGTTGGGCTCTGCTGGCTTCATATATTGTAGTGATTGGGTCTGAGCCTGCAAGTGGGGGGTGGGGCAGAGAAATCTGATAAGAAACAGGGGCTAGAGCTGATTTTTCTTTTGTTATGGGGTGGAGAAGGTTCTTACATTTCACAGCTGTGCGTGCTCAGAAAGGTGTTGGCCACGTAGTTATCTCCTGGTGTTTCTGGGGAGAGGAGTTGACCTCGACTCTTATCTTGAAGGAAAAATTTCAATCAGGAGACAAAATGTTGCCCTGACCAGTTTGGCTCAGTGGATAGAATGTCAGCCTGTGGACTGAAAGGTCCCAAGTTCGATTCCGGTCAAGGGCATGTACCTTGGTTGTGGGTACATCCCCAGTAGGAGGTATGCAGGAGGCAGCTGATCAATGTTTCTTGATCATCGATGTTTCTAACTCTTTATACTTCTCCCTTCCTCTCTGTAAAAAGTCAATAAAATATATTTTAAGAAAAAGAGACAAGCAAGAATTTATTGATCGCAGTGAAAACATGCTTAGGGCAGTAAAACACGGAAGGGCATGGAAGCAGCAGTAGGAGAGCCTCGGCTGGGCTGCTTTGGCTCACTGGGCAGTCAGAGGAAAGAGGGCCTTGGAATCAGGTTCGAGGGGTGAGCCCAGGGCGAGTTTCTGCTGCCCTTTGCTCCCCTGATTGCAAGTCTCATGGGGTCCCTTAGAGGTCAGGGGATACGTGCCTGTGGGGGAAAGAGAGGAGAAGAGAATGGCACAGGCATGCTCGCTGGAGGGAGAGCACACTGGGACCTTCTGTCTCAATTCCCTATTCCACTTGTCCTGGAATTGTCCTAGCTTCTTACTGTTCTGTAACATTGGCTGTCTCACTCTGCTGCCTCCCCCCTACTTTTTTTAAACTGAGACCTCCAGACTTTCAAGGTCTGCTCGAAGTGGCTATTCCAAGTTTGGTGGGTTTGGGGCTCACAGGCCTGGCAGTGGAGGGCCACGAAGGCACAATAGGCCTGACTAGCAGCTGGCTGCTTTGCAGGTCACCCTGGACCGTGTCACTTGGTGCAGAAGGAAGACTGAAACCTGCTTGAGAGCCACGTGGTAGCCGCTGGCTTGCCACTGCCCAGCCAAGTGGCAGCCCAGAGCCCCAGAGCAGCGAGTAGCTGCAGGTCACAGACAGTGAGAACATGAGAGTGGAGGTGACCACCTTCGCTCCTCTCTCCCCCACCTCAAACACAAGCGCGGTAAAATACACCACCTTTTCCCCTGTGGACTACGTGGTCTTCATCCTGCTGCTGGTTTTCTCCCTTGCCATTGGGCTCTACCATGCCTGTCATGGCTGGGGCCGGCACACCATTGATCAGCTGCAGATGGCGGACCGCAAAATGGGCTGCCTTCCCGTAGCGCTATCCCTGCTGGCCACCTTCCAGTCCGCAGTGGCCATCCTGGGGGTGCCGTCCGAGATCTACCGATTTGGGACTCAGTATTGGTTCCTGGGCTGCTCCTATTTCCTGGGGCTGCTGATCCCTGCACACATCTTCATCCCTGTCTTCTACCGTCTGCATCTCACCAGTGCCTATGAGGTAAGCAGAGAGGAAGGGAGGGGAGCACATTGAACCCTCAGGCTCTCAGGGAAGGAGAGGAGGAACTGGGCGCAGATGAGGGATCTGGAGCCCCAGGTTGCCTCTGCCTAATGAGAGTGGCAGCACCATGTCCTGTGTTCACAGGTTCGTTCTGGTGAGGTCAGATTGGGGGAGGAGCGTGCTGTACTGAGCCAGGCCAAGCGTGGATATGAATTGGATATTCCCTTCTGTTTCTGGACCTCTTGAGGGAAATTGGGGGTGGAATAGGGACGAATACCTTCTTATTTTTTTATACTACCTAGTACCTGGAGCTCCGATTCAATAAGATTGTGCGGGTTTGTGGGACCATCACCTTCATCCTTCAGATGGTAAGTAGAATGAGGCTAGAATTGAGCCTGAGGCATGGGAAGGGGACCTGAACTCAGGCATGCCCAGGCAGTTGGAGTCTCCCTGCTCTCAAACCGGCACGCTTAAAATTCCTGCTCGGGCTCAGTTACTGAAGCCCCAGAGGCACCCTGCTTTCCGTCCCTTCAAGTCCCAGCACGGCGAGCAGGGTGGCCACAAGCCAAGCGTTGGCAGAGGGAGAAGGTAGGGAGCCTAGGGGAGAGGAGGCCGTTGGGATATTGGAACTGAGGTCCATCTTTCCTCCTCTGCCCACCCTCCTCTCCTCTCCCCCTCACGTTCTCCTTTCACACCCAACAGGTGATCTACATGGGCGTTGTGCTCTATGCACCCTCACTGGCGCTCAATGCAGGTGAGGAGGCCGAGCCCCTGGCTTCCAGGCTGGGGATGTTCTTTTGGGAGGGCAGGTGACCAGATGCTTCCGGTCTTACCTGGGCTTCTCTGGCCTTCCCCTCCTGGCAGTCCTCTTCCAGAGACAGAGTGTGACTTTTATCTCTTTACAGTGACTGGCTTTGATATTTGGCTGTCAGTGCTGACCCTAGGCATTGTCTGTACTGTCTACACTGCTCTGGTAAGTGCAGGAAGGAGAGATAAAGTAAGGAGGGAATGGGAAAAAAGGGATAGGTGAAATAAGAAGGTGGGAGATGAGATAGAAATGTAGTTGAGCCTGCAGACCAAAGAGTCCCAGATTCGATTCCAGTCAAGGGCAGGGACCTAGGTTGCAGGTTCCTCCCAGTCCAGGCCCTAGTCATAGTTCATTCAGGAGGCAACCAATTGATGTGTTTCTCTCACATCAATGTTTCTCTCTGCCTTTCCCTCTCTCTTCCACTCTCCCTAAAAATCAGTGGAAAAATATCCCCCCCCCCATTTTTATTTTATTTTATTTTTGGGAAAATATCCTTGAGTGAGGATTAACACACACAAAAAAGAATATAGGTGAGAAGGCGGAATGAAATGAGATGTAGGAGATGGGATGGGATTATGATGGGTGGGACGTAGTAGAGGGGATGGCAGGTGAAGGTAGGGGATGGGACCCAGTGATGTCAATGGGTCTCAGTGGTTGTGCCCCCGGCAGCAGTGCCTTGCTGGTGGCAGGGTGTCCTTGGGCGGGTGGTGGGAAGACACTGGTGTCAGGCAGCGCTTTTTCTTACAGGGTGGGCTGAAGGCAGTCATCTGGACAGATGTGTTCCAGACACTGGTCATGTTCCTAGGGCAGCTGGCGGTTATCATTGTGGGGTCGGCCAAGGTGGGCGGCTTGGAGCGAGTGTGGGATGTGGCTTCCCAGCATGGCCTTATCTCTGGGATCGAGTAAGTACAACCCTCCTGCCAGTGGGTCTCGCGCCTAGGAACTGGTCCTATCCTAGAGTCTGAGCTCAGGGTTGTAAGCAGAGGGCAAGCTGCGGAAGCCTTAGGGCGGCACTGAGACAGGTGGGAAGCCAGCACCGCAGAGGAGGGGCTGGCCACGGTGTGGCTGGTGGTTAAGGGGGGTCAGGGTGTTTTTAGTGCCTGGGATGAGGCCATAGGTTGGAAAAATGGAGCCCTCCCTCCAACTTGCTACCCTCTCTTGGGTCCACCCAGTGCTTGCCTCAGCAGCTCCTTAGCCCTCACAGTGGGGTGAGGAAGGCCGGGTCTCTGGGGCTGTGGCGCAGTGACCGGTGGCGTTCATTGCAGGCTAGATCCGGACCCTTTTGTGCGGCACACTTTCTGGACGTTGGCCTTCGGGGGTGTCTTCATGATGCTCTCCCTGTATGGGGTGAACCAGGCGCAGGTGCAGCGCTATCTCAGCTCCCGCACGGAGAAGGCTGCTGTGCTGTGAGTGCGCGGGCAGGAGGGCAGAGCAAGGGCTGGAGGGAGAGAGTGGGCCCTGGGTCCATGGAGGCGGTCTGGTGGGGACAGGATGTCAGAGCTCACAGCCCCCCATTGGGGAATATGTGAGTCTGCTTTTGGGGCTCGGGAACATGCTTGAGGGTATCTGTTAGCCCCTCTCTCCCCCGGCCTCTTGCAGCTCCTGCTATGCCGTCTTCCCGTGCCAGCAGCTGGTGCTCTGCATGAGCTGCCTCATTGGCCTGGTCATGTTCACCTACTACAAGGAGTATCCCATGAGCGCCCAGCAGTCTGCAGCAGCGCCCGACCAGGTGAGAAGGCCTTCCGGCCCCTTCTGTGCCGGGAAGAGTCACCGGGCCCCGGAGGAGGAGTGTCTGGGCGGCTGCAGAAAGGACCCCCGCCCTGGGCAGCAAGCGGATGTGCGTTCTTTCCGCTCGGGGTCTCTCTCCGTTTGGTGAGGACCCCAGCATCACTCATCACGTTGCTCACCTGCTGGGTGGCTCACACATGCCCTGCTGGGAGCTGCCACCACCTGGTCTCATGTAACCCTCCCAGCAGCCTCCCTTCATAGAGAACAGAGGCTCAACAAGGCGGCCAGTGTTGGCGTGCGAACTGCGTCCTCTTTCCAGAATCCATTTTCTCTCTCCTTACTGCGGGGTCACCCTCAGTGCCTGCCCTCTTCCTGATGGTCCGGGCTGGCTGGGGCACGTACAGGGGCTTCCTGTGCGTCCTGCCCTCGGGAAGGGCTCCCCTCAGGAGAGCTGTGCACTGTGTTCTGCCCGCAGTTCGTGCTGTACTTTGTGATGGATCTCCTGCGGGACCTGCCCGGCCTGCCCGGGCTCTTCGTTGCCTGCCTCTTCAGCGGCTCCCTCAGGTACCTGACCCTTTCCCCGGGCTCCGCGCAGCTGACCCTGCTGAGTACAGAGTGACGGGCAGAGGGGACGATCCCTCGTTAAGCCATCCATCTGGGTGACGAGGGGCAGCTCATCTGTGTAGGACGGAGCGTGTCCTCTCTGGAGATGCTCCCTTCTTTGATAAAAGTCTCCTTTTATTTTATAATAGCAGTTGATCTGCAGAATAAAACCTGTGCCCCACTCAGAAAAGGTCACGTGTCCTTACCTTCCGGGCCTCTTCCTCGGCTGCCACCTGGGAGGAGGTTTTTGGCTGCACCGTCCTCTACCTCCGGGGCACCGTCCCTCAATAGCCTCCTTGTTCGTTCCTTTCTCTCAGTGCACCTTGTCTTTCTCTTCCTCCTCTCAGCACCATATCCTCTGCTTTCAACTCACTGGCAACTGTTACGATGGAAGACCTGGTTCGACCCTGGTTCCCTCAGTTCTCAGAAGCCCGGGCCACCAGGCTTTCCAGAATTCTTGGTGAGATGATGCTTCCTCCTCTCAGGCACGTCTTGCTCAGATTCACCCTGAGCTGTCACCGTGGGCTCTGAAGCACCAGCTGAGGGGCTCAGCGTTCGCTGCCTGCCGAGGGAGGCACAGCCTCGCGCCCAGCTCAGGGACTTCCTGGGCCTGAGTCACAGTGTGCGGACAGGCTGGGCGGGACCTGGAGTTGGGCATGGTGTGCGCCCTGTTTCCAGCGACAGAGGAAGTGGTTTTCCCTCTGTAGTGTGCTAACTCGCCTGTTTCCTCCCTTTTCCCAGCCTGTAGCTATGGGCTGCTTTGTCTGGGAATGGCCTACATCTCCTCCCAGATGGGACCAGTGCTGCAGGTAATGACTGTGGGGGAAGAGAGCCGTTTGGGGGGAGAAAAGGAGCAAATTGAAACGGGAAATTGAGGAGGAAGCTATTGTGAAGGGAATGACATGGGGGCAGGCATCAGAAATCCTGCTTTGACGGGCTGCCGTTAGCTGTGAACAACTCAAGTCGCCAAAAGCCCCGGGTCATTCTTGTTGGCTCTGAGACGTCAGAGGATCAACTTCAGAGGGGAGCCCAGAGCACTTTCCCTTTTCCATTCCTGACGCATGGAGTCCTGCACGGGGTCAGCTCCCGGGCAGATCCGGCCAGAGGGCTCTGAGGTCACGCTGGTGAGACTGGGGTCTCTGAGCCTGTGTTCTTTTCCCAAACCCTGTTCTCCACAGGCAGCCATCAGCATCTTTGGCATGGTTGGGGGGCCGCTGCTCGGACTCTTCTGCCTTGGGATGTTCTTTCCCTGTGCCAACCCTGCTGTGAGTGACCGTCTGGCTCCCCTGTCACGTGCAGGGACAGACCTGGGAGTGCTGGGCATGCCTGGAGGTTGGTAGGGCTGGCATTGTGACCAGAGTGTGCCATCTTTGGCAGGGCGCCGTGGTGGGCCTGTTGGCTGGACTCATCATGGCCTTCTGGATCGGCATTGGGAGCATAGTGACCAGAATGGGCTCTAGCGTGGCACCCCCGCCCCTGAATGGGTCCCACTTTTCCCTGCCCGGCAACCTGTCCACCATTGCCATGACCACGCCGATGCCCTTGACCCCCCTCTCCAGGTGAGTTGGGCCTCACTAGCTTTCTCCTTGGGGAGCCTTAGGGAAGAACAGCTCATTTTTTTAGGGGTTTTCCAGGGATCCTGGTAAGGAATGGGCCACCAGAAACCCCAGGGAAAGGTTGGATCCAGGGACCTAGGACCTGCAGGTGAGTGGAGCCAGGAGGCCAAGGAACACCCTCCCCTCCGTCTCCCCAGGCCCACCGGACTGCAGCGGCTCTACTCCCTGTCATACCTGTGGTACAGCGCCCACAACTCCACCACCGTCATCGTGGTGGGCCTGCTCGTCAGTTTCCTCACTGGTGAGGGTGTGGGGAGGATCACCCGGAGAGGGTGGACAGGGAGGCGCTCCGGGAATCTGGACTTCGGGGGAGAATTGACCCCACCTTCTGGGCTCCGGGATCTTTAACCATCAGGTTTCTTGGCTGAGCTCCAGCCAAGGTGGGCAGGGCTGGGGCTGGGAGCCCTGAGAGCCGAGGGCTTTCTGGGTTGCGTACACTCGTTACCTGGTAAAACTCAAGCACCTCAACCTTCAGGGGGAATGCGGGGCCGGACCTTGGACCCTCGGACTATTTACCCAGTGTTGCCAAGACTCCTTGCCCTCCTGCCTGTGTCCTGGCAGAAGCGACTTCACTGCAAAAGCCACAGCCAGGTAGTGCCTTATCCAGATTGCCCCCCTTCTTCTCTCTCCAGACCATCGCCGGACCTTCCGGGTTTCCCTCCATCCCTTTGCTTCCCCCCCACACCCAGCGCCCCTTTTTCTGGTATTTGCCTCAGGAGAGCTCTGGCCTGGTGGGCAGAGGGGTCTGAGCGGGGAGAGAGCACTGGGTGCTGGCACCCCCCCCCCCATGCTGCTTTCCCTTCTCACTGGGCTCAGAGCAGGGTCTCGCCTTTTCTGCTGGAGTCGCTTCCCCAGCCCTTTGTCTGCTGCTCCCTATTTCACTCGCTTTGCTCTGGCTGCAGGACTTCTTTGGGGACCCCACAGGGCTCCCCGAGAAGATGAGTAATGGGATGCTGAAGGGCATCAGAGACAAGGAGGCTGTGGCAGAGTCTGAGGAAGACCCAGTCCACTCAGGGAGCAGCCCCACCTTCGTCGTCCAGGAGACCTCGCTGTGATCTGGCACCAGCCTCCTCGGTCTGCCCTGTGGTACAGGGGTGCACACTGGATGTGTGCTGCAGGGGGCCGAGCCCACACCAAAGGACTCTAATCCTGGGGGTCTGTGCCAGAGGCTGTCGGGCCTTGGAGGTGTGAGGATGGGACAGGGTGTTGCTGGAAAAGAAGATACCAGGGAATCCTCTGGGGAAAGGATAAAGTTCCTTTGAAGTGGGCGGAGCCTGCAGTGCAGGTTGCAACTGCCCTGGGCCTGTTCTGGGAAGGTGGACCACCTCCACCACAGATGGTTACTTCCCATGTGCCCCAGCGAAGCCACTGGGCCCTGTGACTGCTTTCGGGTTATCGGTGACACACAGGCCCCTCTATTCTTATCTGTCTACCTCTGTTCTTGAGAGGGAGGTTTGGTGTTCCTGGGAGGCCTCAGAACAGACAGGTACATTCATCTCCTTTGTGTAGAGTAGGGGAAGTGTCCTGCCCACGCCCTCCAGCCCCACATCCAGTGGGCACTTGGGAATGGCGTAGATGCAATTTAAGGAACCAGGGCATGACCAGCTCCACTGTGGAGTGTCCATCTTGACTCCTGAGCCACACCACCCTAGTATCATTTTTGTTACTCATGCTCCTGTTTCCTTTTGGAGTTCCTTTCCCACATATCTTTGTTCCTAAGGAATAAAAATTGTCATTGGATCTAGAATCTGGGCTCTGTTCTTTCTGCAGCTGCTCTTGTCTGCCCCAATCCCATCCCTGGAGAGGATAAGAGCCTTCATTTCCCATGCACAGGTCTAAGGAGAACCGGGAAACTCGGTCTCCATGAGATTTCAAGTCATGTATGTCCCTGGCGTGTCTGCAGGTGGCAGCATTGTGCTCATCAGGGTGGGAGACATCCTCTCTCCCTGCCGCTTCTCATCCCTCTCTTCCTCCCGCTTCTCATCCCTGTGGCTCAGTCTGTCCCGGGGACAAGAAGCAGCAAAGAGACCTGTGCATCTCTCTCCCTGCTGCTCTGAGACTTTCACTCTGGGGACTAGAGGAAGACTGCTGCTATTTGGCTTTAGAAATAGAACAATCACCAAGACTGGTTTGGCTCAATGGATAGAGCGTCGGCTTGGGGACTGAAGGGTCCCGGGTTCGATTCCGGTCAAGGGCATGTACCTTGGTTGCGGGCATGTCCCCAGTAGGGGGTGTGCAAGAGGCAGCTGATCGATGACTCTCTCATCGATGTTTCTAACTATCTCCCTTCCTCTCTGTACAAAATCAATAAAATATATATTTAAAACCTTGAAAAAAAAAAAAAAAGAAATAGAACAATCAAGGTGGACTTTTACAGTCTGTGAAGAACACTGCTCATCCCTACACCTGCTCTCTACCCTTGCTTGGCCCTGTCCAGCTGCCCAGAAATAAGTCTGCACAAGCTCTCGGCCCCTCAAGAGAGACTTAGTCCCAGGCAGGTCAGTGGACAGTCCCAGAAAAGCCAGGTTGGCTCTCCTGAGGGCCGAGGGGACATTGCTCCTGGCCAACTGCCCCACCCCAAAGCTGCCTGCCAGTGTTCTAGGCCTAACTGGACTCTCATGTGTTCATTCTTCAATATATTTACCCACACACTGTAAACCAGCTCTCGTGGATTGCAGTCCAATTTTACATTGCTCAACAGAAGTAATAGATCTCAACATGGGCAAGAAATGGTCAAGGAGAAAGAAAAGGCACAAACAAATAAAAAGGATATGTAGCTCCAGCCGGTTTGGCTCAGTGGGTAGAGTGTCGGCCCCTCTACTAACACTCTGGTCTTGGATTCCATTCTGGTCAAAGGCAGATACCCAACCCTGGTCAAGGCACGTGCAGGAGGCAACCAACCTTGGATGTTTCTCTGTCTCTCCCCCTCCTTTCTGCCCTCTAAAACCCAAAGGAAAAATATCCTCGGGTGAGGATCAACAAAACAGAAAGTGACAGCACAGATGCCATTGACGCTAATGATGTCTCAGGATCACCATCCTCAGCTTCTGAACTGAAGGTCGCCACTCTCACACCCACAGTTGTGAAATAGCATCCATCTGTTCATACAGTTGGCCTGCCTGACTAGCACTTCAGCTCTCTGAAGCTGTCAGTAACAGAGAACATAGAGGACTATCAATAAAAAACTACCCCATCCTAGGAAGCAAGACTGTCACATCCATCCACCCCCCACCAGCAATCTGTGGGAGACTTTCTGTGATTCTTTCATGACAAGTTGAGAAAAACACATGCAATACTACTAGGCCAGAGATATAATAAAATTTTACCTGGATGGGATAAGGCTCTTTTGCTGAGACTGGGTCTATTAAAACGTGCTGAGTGAGATTCAAAATACATTCAGCTGAATCATTAAGATTCTTCCAGCAGAGTAAATAGAAAACCCACCTAAAAGAGGCTCAAACAAGACATCAAAACAAGAAGCCCCCCTATTTGTGATGGGTATGAACCATGAAAAACATGACTTCCTCAATGTTGTCAGCAATGCTGCTTGCACCAACTGCCTGGCTCGCCTGGATAAGGTCACCCATGACAACTTGGGCACGATTAAGTGGCTTAGGGCCATAGCCCATGCCATCACTGCCACCAGAAGATCCTGATGGCATCTCTGAGAAGCTGTGGCAAGATGGCTGAGGGGCTGCCCAGAACATCATTCTTGCTTCTGGTACTGACAGTGCTGTGGGCAAGGTCAGCCCTGAGCTGAATGGGAAACACACGGGCATAACCTTCTGGGTCCCCACCCATGTGCTGGTCATGGATTTGAACTGTCATCTGGAGAAAACTCAGATATGATGACACCAAGGTGGAAAAGCAGCACCGAAGTTTCCCTAAAGGTCCTCTGGGCTACACTGAGGACAAGATTGTCTCCTGCAACTTTAAGCCACTCTTCCATCTTGGATGCTGGGGCTGGCATTGCCTTCCATGACCACTTTGTCAAGCTCATTTCCTGGGATGACAATGAGTTTGTCTATAGCAATGGGTGGTGGACCTTATGCTTCAAATCACCTCCAAAATGAGCCCTTGGGCCACCAGCCCCAATGAGAGGACAGCTGCCTGGGTGTCCTTGTACCAACTTGACCCCTGACACACTGAGAATCCTATCCTCAACACAGTTTTATCCCAGAACCTCTGAGGAAGGAGAGAGGCTTAGGGAGTCCTATCTTATGCACCATCAGTAAAGTACACTGTATCTGCCCCTTTCAAAAGAAAATCTTGGTTTACCTGACCCAGAAGATCATCTATATATATAAAAGGCTAAGTGACTGACAGCTGGTAGGTATGATGCACACTGACAACGGAAGTGGGGAGGGGAGAGGTAGATGTTCAATACAGGAACTGCTGAGAGCCAGCAACTTTACAGAGTGCCCTCTTGTACTCTGGAACCCCTTGAACTGCTGGTTTTGGCCCAATCCCTGCAGGTCATGCAGAGGGACCTCACCTGCCAGAGGGACCCTGTTCACTCTGCAGACACCCTTAGAACCTTGGCACTGCCCCAGGTGTTGCCAGCCAAGGAGGGGCCCTGGGAGGTTAGCTTTCTTGCCCAGTCCTGCCCCTCAGACCACCACCTAATTAATTTCCTTTCAATGTGCACAAATCCATGCACTGGACCGCTAGTAGTTTTGTAAAATTATAAAACCTAAAATTTTAGAGCTAGCTGGCAAAGATAAACAGTGGCAGATTTGTTTAAAAATGAGATGTGTGCCAAAACCGGTTTGGCTCAATGGATAGAGCGTCGGCTTGGGGACTGAAGGGGGGTTCGATTCCAGTCAAGGGCATGTACCTTGGTTGTGGGCATATCCCCAGTAGGGGGTGTGCAAGAGGCAGCTGATTGATGACTCTCTCTCATCGATGTTTCTAACTCTCTCTCTCTCTCTCTTCCTCTCTGTAAAAAATCAATAAAATATATTTTTTTTACAAATGAGATGTGTGCCAAAACTGGTTTGGCTTAGTGGATAGAACATCAGCCTGCAAACTGAAGGGTCCCAGGTTCGATTCCAGTCAAGGGCAGTACCTAGGTTGTGGGCACATCCCCGGTAGGGGGTGTGCAGGAGGCAGCTGATCGATGTTTCTCTCTCATCGATGTTTCTAACTCTCTATTGCTCTCTCCCTTCCTCTCTGTAAAAAATCAATAAAATATATATTTTTTAAAAAATGAGATGTGTGTATGTAGGGCATGTTACAACCTGCAATCTACATTTGTGTGGCCCAAGCTTTCAAAGCCACCACTTGGCAACACTTCAGCTCTGCTGTGGCATCTGAAGAGGGGAACACAAGCCCCCCTGCTGCCTGCGACCCTGCCGTGTTCTTGGTGTGGTAGACTTGAATATTACTGTCTTGTCAAAGACCACTTGTGATTGAAGGTCAAGATGCTGTAGGATAAATTAGAACAGGAATGATTCCTGCAGGAGTCGGTGCCAGTCCCACACTATTTTTATGCCTTTCTATGAAGAGATGATTATGATGTAAGTGATGAAAAGGCATTTCTGGGTCCTGATTATAAGTGTGACTACGGAGATGCTGCTCAGAGACTTACAAAGACCCTCGTCTCCTTTGCCAAGTTGCCAACTCACCACTATTAGTGGGCAGCCCAGTTCCCACAGCCCTGTGGAAAACCACTGGTTTGTCGGATTCCCAGGAACTCTGGCCCACACCCCAGGCAGCTGCTGGAAATTCTGGCTGCTAGACCTGAAACCATGTGACAACTCTTAAGTGTGTCCACTCTGGAAGACAAAAATGCAGTGGCTTGCATGGAATACCCTACTGCGATCATGTCTGATAAACTACGTTTTCTGATGTTGGCCAGGGAGAGAAAATATATATGAAAATAACACCCATTAGCTAAACTATATGTTTTAGACTTGATTAAAGAAGAACTTGTGTGAGTACGCTGAATGTGTATTTATCTGTTTCCTCCCAAGTCTTCACTGTCCTAACAGTAAAGAAATAAAAGACCATAAACCCATAGGGTTAAAGAGAAGGGGAAAAATGATGACGGGGT